ATTTCTTTAAAAAAATTTATTATTATAATATTTTAAAGTTTTATTATTATTAAATATTTTTATTTTTTTTATTAATTATCATATAATTTATGATAACAGCAAATTAAAATTCTTCAAAAGTAAAAATTTAATAAAGGAAAAATTTTTTTAACAATATAAAACTTTAAAAAATTATATATAAAAAATTTTTGAAAAAAATATAATAAATAAAACTAGTATTAAAGTATAATATATATAAATTATACAATTTTCAATTGCATAATTAAAGATTTAAATATTGTCAAAGTTGAAATTTATAATAAAAACATAGTAAGTGAACTTAAACTTTTAGAAGCAACTATATATAATAAAATAAGAAACCGTTAATAATATTAATAAAAAAAATAATAATTTAAATATTACATTCAAGTACAATTACTATTAAATTTTATATTAACAAAACTTTCAATCAAAGATCAATATATAAATCTTGTTAATTACCATATAGATTGATTATTCAAAGAAATTATAAATATATTTACACGATCTTTTTTTAATTTTAACATTACTTAGCTATTTATGATATGTTATATGTCAATTAGAAAAATATAAAAATTGTGAATAAATTGTAAATGCATAACCATATACAGTATATACTGTATAATGGATTTTTTTTAAGAATGTGCCAGTTTAAAAAAAAAAAAAAACGGTTTCTCAAGATTCTTAATACTATATTTGAAAATAAAAACTTGATCCATCTAACAGGAAGGGTTATATAATGTTGACTCTAATATTGCAAGACAAAGGCTTGTTCAGTATGATACAAGAATACTTTAACAACAAATTAAAAATCATTATTTATATTATTTAGTTTAAATAAAGTATACAGTATATGCCTATTTTTTAATTGTTTAAAGAATTACCTGGTCAATTATCCGTGATACCTAAAAAAACAGTCTTTGACCATCTGGGTCGATTATCCTTTTAAACTAAACCATCAATCACTTAACTGATTTTACCTAACCAAGACAATGAACAAGGCTTCAAATTTTAATTCAAGAAAAATCTTTTTATCACTTTCTCATCGTTTAATGATTGCCTTTTGACGATAAGCTTGGTTTGGCAAAGTGTTTTTTAGTAAATGCCATACTGTATATTGGACGGATATTAAAATCTTTGGGAAACGGAAATACGCGTACTTCAATTTATAAGGGTATTACGTAAAGGCATAACTTTACCGCGCTCTTTTAGGACCGAAGAAAAAAAAATTTTTTTTGACAATCTCATAACCTTTGATTATGGATCAAAGAACTTCTTTGTCAAGATAGTTGCAATGCCAAATGAAATGATTTCTATTTATTGAGTGATCTATGTTTAACGTTTGTTTAAAAAATGGAATTAATGAGAAAAGGCTGTAGGAATTAATGAAAATTGCAGGAGGCCATTAAATAATAAATAAAGTGCATAAATAAGAAGCAAAACTAAGAACGCGCAAAATAGATTATAAGTCTTGATTGTTAATCCAACGCGTAAACATTTTTAGAGCAACCTCTGGTTGATAGGCTGCCACTTCGTGACCTGCATTATACACCGAAGCGAATGTTAAGCAAGCATAAGATTGGATTTTCCCTTTTGCCACTTGATCGCCTAAAAACCATTCCTTAAGAGGTTCACGGTTATATTTGCTCTGGTGCTCCCATTGGATGGCTTTAGAAACACCGTGTCCTCCCATCCTTGATTTACATAAACGATGAAGAATGTTTAAGATGACGTTCAACCCATATATACAGCATATATTTTAAGAAAAGAAAGAAAAAATTCATACCAATTGCAGACAAAATCTGCATCGCCGTTGTATATCAGTGTGCGTACACCGTCATTGACGACATGATTTAGCAGGGAAAGGAAGTTTCGCATGCTGTTTGCAATAAAATTCGTGTCGATTGATTTATATCGTTGTTTGTCTAAAGCACTTGAGTCAAGACAATCCACTTACTCGTCAGATCTTTTCAGAACGAAGTAGTCATGGGTGACCTCATTACATTCAGTGTAATTCACTTTTGCGCCAATTGCTTTTAGTACACTTGGCAACTCCAAATAATTGTTATAATCTGGTGACGGGTAAGTGAGCGTTGTAGAGTTTAAAGTTCTAACATCATAAACGTTGACATCCGAATTCTCGGCAAACAATGCGGTGAAGTTTTCCGTGCAATAATTGCCAGCATCTCCGCAATCTTTGGGTGAATTCGTGTTGGCACATTTTTGAACTTTTCAAGGTGGAATTTTGGAATTTGTGAATAGTCATAATACGTGCAAATCACACGACAGAACTTCAAATAACTTACGCAGCGCTTGACACGTGGGAAAATTTGCAGTCATTTTTGCGAGAATGACTGCGTCGAGCAGTGGACTGTCTGTAATTAAAGTGACCAACTTTTAACCGTTGTTATTTCTATCTACAGTAGTTCGAAAATCAATATGACTTACATGAATTATGTGCAATATAGTCAAGATATGAACCGCTGCGAGTAGATTAAGATTCCGAGAATTAGATGAAATTATTATTGAATTTAAATTCAGGTAAAAAAAAAAGAATTCATACTATAGTATGCTTGGGTCAATCAATCCGTTCCCTATGCCTATTTAGATTTCAAAGAAAATGGGACTTAATGGATGGATCGTGAATATAATCAGTCCTTTCAAATATTTATCTATTTATATTTACCAATTGACTTGAGACGGATTGGAATCACGGAAGCCCTTCGTAAATTGTTCTTTATTATCAGACTAACCGTTGCGGGCACTATGGCGTTGAGTGATAATTTAAGATTTGTTTGTGTAAATACATTTCAAGCAATAAGGTGAAGAAGACTTACCGTAATGGCCAGCATAAGATTCTCCAAATATGTGGAAATCTAGATTCGAGTATTCAGGGAATTGTTCAAACCAGAGCTGTAGGAATTTGTAAAGGACCTCAGCTGCTTCTTCCGTGGAGCTCAAATAGTCACTGCCATAAGAGAATCCCGCACCGACAGGCTGCAAGTGAAAAAAAAAATAAGTATTATTACATTATCATAAATAGCAATTATAAATAGTCATGTTTTGTTAGAATCAAACCTGATCAACGAATAGTAGATTGGAGGCTTCGTTCCAGCTGTACGGGTTTATCTCAACGTTCGTGCCATTATTTATTGATCTGCATGGACCCATTTCCTGGAAGAGGCCGATCATCGAAGAACAACCGGGGCCACCATTTAGATACAACGTGAGAGGTGAGGTCTCCGGATTATTCCGTGATTCAAAAAACCAAAAGAAATAATGCGTGTTCGCGGTGACCGAGATATATCCGGAATACTAGAATTAATTGATTAGACTAAACGAAATTTGAAATTCGAGAGTCACGCAAACCAACCTGCTTTACATAAGGATCACATAGGTTGCTTGAGACGATCTTCCTACTTAAGGGCGGAAAATCTATTGATGTTAAATAATGTTAGTCACATGGGAAATTCATCAACGCATGGTGCAATAATGCTTACGGCGTTTTTTATCGCTTGTTCGACCCGCGTCGACCGCGCTAAACAAAGTGACATTTAATAATAAAATTATGGAGAGTAGGGTGAAAACGAAAGTATTTAAACGATTGTTGAATGATGGAGTTTTGGCCATTTTTGAGAAGTGTGTGAAGGCTAGAATTGTTATTTTGAACGCAGGCTGTCCTCCAAGAAAAAAAACAAACAACCGAGCGATCGCAGATCTAAAAAAGTGTGAGGGTATTCTGGACGAATTGGTGTCATTTTTTATAGAAAAAAATTGATCTCTTCAAGTTTATTTAATGGTTAAAGGTAGAACATTTGAGAGGCTATAAATGCATGTAGAACTAAAATACGATATGTAAGCAATATAATTCTGCTTCACGAGGACTGCAAATATTAATGTATCTTCCAAATTAGCAATTATCAATTATGTGTAAAGGTGCGCTGTGAATATGAATATTGTTTCCTGGTCATATTTTCATAGGCTGTTCGCCGATATTACAATTCTTTGCGTGCAGAAATGTTATGATTCTGTCATATGGTGAGAGTGGCAATGACTTTATTATCCAAACCTGGAAACCGGAAGACTTCAACTCCATCTTAAGAAAGCATAAACTTTGTTTGACGCTTTTGAGTTGGATATTAGTAAGATATTTCCGATGTCCATGGCGAGATGCATGCATTTCCTTATAGGGAAGTACTTTATTATACTGTATATTCCCGAGCTATTAATATTAAACTCTCACAATAATGAGTTACGAAATTCCTTAAAACCTGTGTGAATCTTAAAAAAATTGTGTCTGTGTCTGATAAAAATCCCTGATCATTGGAGTGTCATATTTTACATTATGGATTCTCCCGTTCTCACGATTTCTCAGGATGAGCTCGTTGCCGAAAATCGCATTATAGAGGAATTTCGAAACCTCAACAACAGTCAAGTTTTCGAGCATGTATTCCGTCACCGTATGATGGCTCTTAGACGTGGTGTGACAACCCCACAGTCACCGTCCGACCTTTTAGGAGTGGATAGTCGTGAACTTATGTGTCCTTCATTGCGTGAAACTTTACACTCGGTTATCAACCACAGTTCTGCGTCAAAAGGTATTTCCGAGTTTCACCTGTTGGACGTCGGCGCCGGATCTGGCGAAGCTATCGATTGGTTTTTCGCAAAAGAATTAAAAAGAGTAAATGATATCGAAGGATCGGATGCAAAGGAACGAAAACTTTTTATTCATGTCATTGAACCAAACTCCACCTTCTTGGAAGCGTATCAACAAAAATTAGCGAATTATGATTATCTCCACGAGGGAATAGTTTATCAAGGTCCGATTCAAGATTACCTTGGAAATGTTGAGAAGGAAATCCTGCCAAAACTTCCGGCTTCCGTTGATTTTGTTAATTGTATGCAAATGATTTATTATTTGTAAGTACAAAAACACTTGGAATGGCAGTGAAATTATTGCATTGTCTTCCAAATTAATAAAAGAATGCTTTCGAATTCAGAGTTGCATGTTTATTAACACTCACTCAACAAAAATACTCCACAGGACGGATGTCAAGAAACCGAATATTGACCCAAAACAAGATATTATTAATTTTACCACGTTCTTATATGGATTACTAAAACCGGGTGGTGCAATTTATATTGCATTTCTCGATATGGGCTCTACATTTGCATCGTTAGCATGCAAATTTTACGAACAAATCATTGGAGACCTTGAAACTCCAAAACGAATTCTCCAAACGATCCGAGCCAGGAATGAGCTCCTGTACGAAGGGAAGGTCTTGGACGCATTGAAATCACACTCGGACGACAATAGTTTGGCAGGTGCTAAGGAAAAGACGAGGCCAAGGTTAAACTCGTATCGGTTATCGAGTGGATTCTTTGCACATACCCTAGCCGACATGGCGGTTTTGGCACTGTCAGAATTGTTGGAAGTGAGTGACGATAAATTTGATACTAGAACATTAGATTTTATGATTGAAGAATTGAAGTCGGCGGTTCACGCACCGGGAGAGCCAAAACCACTTGGTTTGTCAAAATGTATTCGTTATGGCGAAAACGTTTGGAAGACCGAACATCCTTTGATTATCTGTGTGATTCGTAAAGAGTTGTCTGTAGAGTAAAGTATACATGTATAAGCTTTTTGATCTGGCATTTTTTTTTGAACGGTAAAGTTTTAATGACTGTAATCTTCACAAATATGGAAATCGATTAAAGCTTTTTATTCCGATTGTTGGCCTCATCTTTCATTTTCTCCTTGCACATTCGACCTTTTTTTTTCTTGCTAACCCGTAGTCAAAAAAAATTCAGTAGTCGCCCCAACTAGGACTCGAACCTAGAACCTCCGCCTTAGGAGGGCGACGCCATATCCATTAGGCTATTGGGGCCTATCACACATGTTGTGTTCAGAATTTCTTTAATAGTTAATTTTATTATATTTATATAGAAACTTAAGACGTCATCGTGAATAATTGACCATTGACCATTACCATAAGCGGACCTCGGTTGTTTGTTTTATTGGTTCTTCATGCCTTTTCGAAGATGTGTATCCTGTAAAATAAAGTTATAATGGATCACAAAAAAATTGGTTCTATATTCATACAGTATAAATCAAAGAATGCAACACAAGTAAAAAACAAAAATAAAATTGCAATGTGTTATATCGATGCATGAAACGAAAAAATAAAATCTTTTTGCTATATTAAATTACTGAAATAACAAGTTTTCGAGATCATATACAGTATATTTACAGTATATTGTATATTAAAGCATGTGATATTCTTTTTTTTTGCAGTATACTATGTTTTTTTTTTAATCCTCTGTCAAGCTAGTTATGTGTGCTTTCTTAAATATTTTGTATACTTTACATTATAAGATGTATTGGTAAAGCTAAATTTCTATCTAACTCATCCATTTTTGTTTTGAAATTTATCAAAACTTTAATTACAACTTTGAAAGTGATTTATTGTTCCATTAGTAATTCAGATAAAGACCCTTTTAGTATTAACTTCATTGCCTGCAGGTTACTACTATAGATATAATATACTATATGATTTTTTTTTTTTTTTAAACCCTCTGTCAGGCTAGGTATGTGTGCTTTATTAAACATATGTATACTTTACATTAAAA